AAACACAACATTTACTTCATGCTAAATGCAAATTCACATTAAAGGAACATGAACAAAATAGGACTATGTAAATAGTATGATGCGTTTGCTTTTAAGTCCAATTCTAATTTAATGCCAAGATTACACTTGTTTTTTTTTTTATCATACAGTACCTTGTTGTATTTTTGAGACTGTTTCTAACCTCCAGTCTGTTTATGACCAGTGTGTACTTTCATTATCCATTCCATATTTTTTATTCAGTATGGCCTATTACCACCAGCTAGATGATACAGACTTTGGTGGTGTAAATTTAGCAACTCCATTGTGTCTGAATCTGTCGGAATTCAAAACTGGAGCCTAAAAGCAAAGAAAACCGAGGTTGTGCTGCAGCACAAAGTCACACACCATTTGATGCCCCAATTTAAAATAGGTGTACTTTGCAATGTCTTCTCTGTAGCCGTGTTGTGTGCCCATATGTATAGGCAAGTCCAGCTTCGTAAAGTCCAAGTGGCACCCATCTATGCTACAGAAGTAGGTCATGTGTTCTAGTAGAACCTGTGACAGTACTGACTGTCACCTCTCAGTAAGGCGTCACTTTAAAGCATCACAGAAAAAGGTGGGAATGAGTAAATCATTGATCACACAAACTTTGACACCACAGTTTGTGTCACTTACCAAAAATCAAAGTATGTATTAAATGTTTTCTATTTTAGACTTTTGGTTTCTTTTGGTTTCACTAAATCGTGACTAAATCTTATTCAAAATGTTTTGTAAATGTTATATAGATGTATGTTGTACACAGAAACTGGTGAAGGAAGCAGGAGGCAGATTTGAATGCAAATAATTTCATATTTTTCATGTCTGATCCAGATCACGAGACTGCGGCACATCATCTGACTCCATGGCAAAGCCCTAACTTTCGATTTAGTTTTTCTGTAGTTGCTTCTTGCAAATAGGCAACTGAAAAGCAGAATGCATGCAAAGATTCTTCTCTGATCCAATCTCAGAAAAGCACACCTGTAATCCCCTCCTTAGCAGACAAGACATTGCAAAGATTTGCTATTCTGTGTAACTTATTCTTATCTGGTTTTATCCCCATTAAAAAGAAATGCCACTGAATCTCAGCTCTTATATGCAGCAAGGATTTTTATTTTTTGCTGTTGTTGTTTCTCCATGTGCATTTGATTGCAGGTTTTTTTTTAAAATAAAAAAAAATATTAACAGATTCAAGGAGTATAAAATTGTGCCTGTCTCTCTAATTACGAATCAAAACAGGAAGTACCCACAACATCTGAACAGATGAAACAGAATGAACAACAAGAATAGATTTTTATAACAGCACCTGCAATGTCTTTACTTTCATATAGGCTCCTTAAACACAGCACGAACATGACGCGTACATCTGTGCCATTAGTTATGTTCGTTTCCCAAAGGACAAATGTAGGATGGAGCAAAAGTTTAGAAAATAGGGCACCTGTCTAAGTGATGTGACTTGCTGTCATATCTACAACACAGACAGTCAGTTTCCCTTGCTGGGAAAATGACAGCTCCAACCCCGCATGGATCCCTGGATGCTCATTCTCTCCTGCTGCTTCACTCTGCAGTCTGCTGATTGATTCATCTACTCGTCTCTTAAACAAGTCTCCGTGCTTTTATTTGTTATTATTGTGAGGGCCGTGAGTGTTCAGCGTGACCAAGTGGACCTCTCAGTTTTGCATTTTAAGCGGTTTCCATGAGAACATTGTATCTGTGAAGATTGTTCCAGAGATGCAACACTGTGTGCAGCAAAAACGGGATGTAGAGGCAGTGAACTGTAGACAAAATGCTGCTATTTTGCTGAACAGCTGACCTGTTTGGCTCATGAGTGCCACAATTTAGTCACTGTGTCTTAGTGTAGAGTGTAAACTGTCAAAGTACTTTATTATTTTTGCATGTTTGGCATGAAAATAAGACCTTTGGAGAGTTGCTAGTAACAGCAGTCACATATAGCATTCCTTCACAACACTGTCCTCCATCACTGATCAGGTGACATACTATTTTTTTTCCACAAAATGTTGTCTTCCTGACAGAACAAAGAAAGGCTAAGTTTCTTTGTGGTGGTAATGTGTTCTAATTATGTTGGAAAGGGGTAACTTTATTGCACACCAAGAGTGGCACCTCACATAAATTTAGAATTTCCTTTTGTTTCTCCCAGAAAGGATGAAGTGATTACATTACAGCTTTTTGTGTTGCTGTCACTCTTCCAGCGTGGTGGCGTCTACCTCATTGGTGAGCATTCTCCAAACAGCCTCTGCTTTGTCCTGCCAGAAGACGGCGAAATTATATTGACGTCTTTCTCCTGCTTTTATGTTAATATATTCAGAGTGGCTACGGTGTTATGGTATTGTGTGGAAACCCTGCTCCTCCCCTCCCCGTCCCTCTGTGCTTCCCCTCATCACGTCCCAATATATTTCTCCATCTGCAAAGGCAAATGAGACCAACCAGGATCTGCTGTGTTCTTGGTGCCAAATTCATTTCCAATGTGGATGGGGCTCACTGGGGGGATTATGTCATATTTGCCCACAACAATCAAACCCGGGCCTGCAGACTGAAGTGGGGCTGCACTGAGCATCATTATCATCCTAACCTTGAAAGACCTTCACTGGCAGAAAGAAGGGAGTCAAGAGGGCCTCGGTGTCATAACTGTGCAGAGAGCGCCCCCTGTTGACCGGCTCAGAAAAAAAAAAACAATAATAAGGAGAACCATCAAAGAAAAAGGGGGCAGCTGCATGCACACTCCTGCTTATGAAGATGTGAGGCTAATACAAATTACATTACAGATCCAACTTTATTGATTGAGTCTCTGGAGACACAAATCTACCTCTGATTTAGCTTCACATAAGGAGGTAGGAGGAAACCCCGTCTAATGAAACCTCTATCAGCGAGGCAGTCATCCTGATACATACTCTCATTAAACTAATTTCTGGCAGTAAAATAACCCTGGTGTCATTTAGGGGAGTTCTTGCACAACCTGAACAACATGATAACCATACGAAGGCTTTTAAAAGCATACTCATTTAAAATTTACCTGACTAACTAAATATTTAGATTAAGATGGTACAGTAATTTACATGATGCAAATCAACCTGACTACCTTAAATGTTAAGCTTAACAACCTACAGTGTTATGCTCTAACAAATTACCTGACTCATTTTCAAAGTTAACACCCAAAATAATACCTGGACAACCTAACAAATCCAATCCTATGAGCAGCATACTGGTGACAGTGGAGAACAAAGACATTTAAACAGGAGGAAACCTCCAGCAGAACCAGGCTCAGGGAGGCTGGGCATCTGCCTCCACTGGCTGAGGTGAGATTAAAGGGGGAAGAGAAAAAAGAGAGCAGAGACAAACGGAGAGACAACAGAGGACAGATTGATGTCTGTCTGCCATTGGTGCCATGTCTGTTTTATTGTGTCCACTTTGTGCTCATAATGTTTTGTGTGCAATAATATTATAATAGAAATCAGTTCCAGCGGGGTAAACTGGGGAAAGATGTCTTCTTTAAGAACAATGTCTATCTTTTTTCTTAAGTTAAATTTCAAGATACCATGTTGATATAACAAACACCACATTTGTAGGGTAACTAAATCGTTACAGGCTAGAATTTTGGTGTTATAAAACTAAATATACATTTTGTAAAGGATAATCTGCCCGGCAACCCAGTAAATATGCCTCTGACCTTACCTGTAAGTCAGTTCAATGATGTTTGACTTTTTTCCTTTTAAATAATAGTTTGATTATTGCCGATTAATTAAGAACTCATGGACTTAGGACAAAAACGAGAACTTTTACCCTAACTTCATAATCAATGAAATTTAAATTCCTGACATAAATGTATCATCAAATCACCAGTCAGCAGGGATCTTTATAGCAAAGACTTCAAGCTGACTATTAAAAATACTTCCTTGTTTTGTTAATTTACTTACAGATGATATCTAGTAAAATTGCAGAAAAAAAAAATCTGCATGTTGACAGTAAAACAAAAACAGGCCTACATAGCTCTACATATATGCATCTAAGTATATATTCTGTCGTCCTCAAAATTATTCATACCCGCCCATTAAAGAAGGAAAAAAGCAGCCGTCCCTGAAATAAGTTGAAATTGACAAAAGTAATTACAAGTAAAAATTTAATGAAAATCGTGACATTGTTTTTGAATTGTGGTTCAACAGAAATATTAAAAACAAACAAAAAGAAAAAAAAACAAACAAAACAAGCAAACAAGCAAACAAGCATGATGGGACCCGTAAACTAATATTCAGTTGAACAACCCTTTGAGCCAATCACTGCCATCAAGTGTTTTCTGTAACTCTCAGTCAGACTTCTGCACCTGCTGACAGCTATTTAGATTTTGGCCCACTGCTCATCAGCAAAGGGCTCTAATTTGTCCAAGACATTTTTATTATTTATTTATTTATTTATTTTGTTGAATTTTTTAAATATTCTTTTTGACCACAATTCAAAAGCAATGTCTTATTTCACTAAATTATAATTTAGCAATGTTATTTATTTATTATTACTTTTTTCAGTTTCTAGTTATTTGAGTGACGATTGTGAATTTAGCCTTTTCTTTAATGGAAGGGTGTGAATACATTTGAGGACGATTGAAAAAAAAAAAAAAATATATATATATATATATATATATATGAACAGTGGTCAATGTAAAAAAAAAAATAGTTATTGCAAAACTATTTGCAGATTTAACCTGTTTTGTTTTGTTAAATTATAGATAATATCAAGTAAATTCACAGAAAAAAAAAAATGAATTTACAGGAAAAAAGAAAACAAATGAAAACTGCAGATAATGCTCACATAGTATAACTTTTTTTTTTGGTGTATCTACCTATATCAATGTAGGGATGTTTGATTTTTTCAGTATTTTTTTCAGGATTATTTTTGTTTCTGTGATCAGTCTCCGCGCTGACTGTAACACACTAACATCCTGCTCTGATGACTGCGTGGCTCCTCCCACTACTCCTGCTCTAGCTGTCCGTCCTGCGTGCTTCTCGCTGTTGCTGCAGACTCAGGAGTGACTTGTAGCTGCTGTTTTGAGATAAATAACCATGTCTCTGGAGGTGGAATCCGCAGAGTAAGTAGTCCGCATAGTTACTGTTGCAGCAGGGTTGTTTCTGCAGTTACCACCGGTTTATAACCCCACGTTTTAACATATTTATCGGCGGTGAGGCCTGCTGCATCCTCACCTGCAGTCCGCTAGCGTTAGCGCGCTAAGCTAAGCTAAGCTAGCAAGCTAACCTCCAGTTAGAACCATACAAATGCTGTTTGCGCCTTTTTAAATATAGCTAAGGGAAAGCAGTTTCAGTTTGAAGTGTGTTTGTGCTATTGGAAGCATTAAACCAGCTGTGCTATATAGATTTTTGTACTTGTGACACTAAACAGAACTGATAGGCACTGGAGTTAGAGTTAGTTAGCATTAGCTAGCCGTGTGCTCCTAGTTGCCATAGATTCTGTTCAGACCGGGGATGTAAATCATTCAGAACTAAGCAGCGAAGTTTTAAATTAATAAAATTTATTGTGGTATTAAATATACTCACGTTTGTTTGGCGTCATCATCTACACCAACAGAAATGTATTCAGTATTCTCAGTAGTTGATTCCTACGAGATCCCGACCAAGAAGATGCTCGTATGACAGGAGTGTTTACTGATATTATTTTCTAACATATTTGTACATTTAAAACATCTTGTCAAGAGTATATTATATTAGAAGATGAATAGTGAGTCTGGACATTTTAGAGTGGGAAGATAAACTTTGCAAACAAGCTGTGTAGTCTGTGCTGTCTGTTTAATGACCACACACCGATATGTGGTGTTTGATGTTGGTTTGAAGGTTAAATAAAGGATTTTTAGAATAACATGTAGGCCTACTAATTAGTTCATGATTAATTGTCGTGCAAATAAATGTGATAATGACTGAATTGTCTTTTTCTATTCATTTTATACCTGAGTTGGTTTTAGATTAACAGCAGCAGCGCCTTTGGTTGCGACGTTTTCCAACTTACTGAGTTCAACTTTGTCATTTGGCTAAAAAACAAAATGTGTTTGACTTTACAGCTATATCAATAGTGTCAATAGATGCTCATCGAAATGCAGTTGGTCAAATAATACCTGTTGATGATGCCTTTAATCCACAAGACAAACAGAATGAGGTGACGGTAGTGAGCGCAGTACGACATTCCCGTTAGTTTCATCCAGCTGTTTTTATGCAGGTGAATGGAAATGAATGTCACGATTACTAAAAACACAATCACTGTCAGCTCAAATAATGCAATAATTGTGACAAGCCCAGTAATACTAATCTGTAAAAAGACCATATTTGCTATTATTGGCCTGCCAGCGCCAAAGTTGTGCCACCAAGGATGTTTCTTATCACTTTTATTTCACTTTGGAGGCGGCAAAAAGACAACAAATGCCCAAAAAAGAAGTGTTATTTTCTGTTACACTCTGTTATTTGAATTGCTTCAGCTGATCTGCCGGGCTCTCGTACAGATTGTATCCTAATTACTTACATCATTTGTGTTTTTCCACAGCGTGATCCGTCTGATTATGCAGTATTTAAAAGAGAACAATCTTCACCGGACTCTCGCCACGCTGCAGGAGGAGACCACAGTATCTCTGAACACAGTGGACAGTATAGAAAGCTTTGTGGCAGACATCAACAGTGGCCACTGGGATACTGTCCTGCAGGCCATCCAGTCCCTCAAGCTGCCGGATAAGACTTTAATAGACCTTTATGAGCAGGTAAGCATGATTGTGGTCATCTTGTCCACTTTACATTGTCCTCAGACAGGATTTTGAGATTATCCTGCATTCTATGTGCAACCAGGAGAAGTTGGGGAGCACATATAAGTATTTTATTTTATTGTTTGTGGTTCGTCTGACTTCATGAAAGTAATTCAGCAGGGTTTTGATTGTTTTGTAACTCAGTTTTCGTGGTCCTGAACTCACACTCTTTGTCATCTATTATCTCATTTCTGGTGTTGTCTCTACATTTGTCTGTTTATTCTAAACACCAATTTATAGTCTGTCAGAAGTACTTTGTAAGATTTACTGTCTGACTGAAACAGAAATTAAAAGTTTTTGTCCAAAATTTGTCATAAATGATTGTTTGACAAATTAAAAGTGAGCGAGAAAGAGAAGCACAACCCTCTGCTCCTCTGGCATGAAGGTTTGTTTTGGACAAAGTTTGCTCGACGTCTTCAGCTTTATTCCTAGCCTATTTACAAAAGCAGATTGTTTTATTAATAATTCTTGTGCTAACCCTTTATTTCAGATCATTAAATTCATCATTGTCAACCCAGGAGTTGTTCATTACTCGTGCTGGCAGATCTCTCCCGTACATCATGTCTGTGTTGTTTTCTGACCAGGTTGTCTTGGAGCTGATTGAGTTGAGAGAGCTTGGAGCAGCCCGTTCACTCCTCAGACAGACAGATCCCATGATTATGCTGAAACAGACGCAGCCAGAGAGATACATCCACCTGGAGAACCTGCTGGCTCGCTCGTACTTCGATCCCAGAGAGGTAAGTCCAGACCCAATGTGCAGAAAGATGCGATCTTTGTTCATACATGTAGCATCGTGATAGGATCCAAAGGTTTAGTTGCCCATTTTAATCTTTCAGTTTAGTCATCATTTGATGTATCTTAAGTTTTTTTTATGCAATTTTCATGCAAAATTTGTTAACAGGGACTGTGCTACATAATCAGAACTTTATTTTTCTTCATTTTTTTCCCCTCCCTTTTTTTGTTGTATTTCTTAAAACAAAAGACCAAAAAATATCCTAAAATACTCATTAACCCTTGAGTAAAATAATACTATCTGACAGGATGCTTCATTTTTTTTAAGAACAGTGGATGGAAATGTAATGCAGTGTTTATTAAGCAAATATACATCTGTCTTTAAAGCTCATATTGGTTTAACTCTTTCCAGGCGTACCCAGACGGCAGCAGTAAGGAGAAGCGTCGGGCAGCCATTGCTCAGGCGCTGGCAGGAGAGGTCAGTGTGGTGCCGCCCTCTCGTCTCATGGCTCTGCTGGGACAGGTAAGCGCTCTGAAAACTTGTATGTTGTCAACAAATGATCTTAATCCTGGCATATTTGCAAACATACAAACACAGTTGTGGTTCTTGAATAGCCTTCCACACACTCACAACTAACGCTGTCACCCAGATAAAGTGCCGCTGCTGATTTTGCCCACTGTCTGGATGTTCCTCAGTCTCTGAAGTGGCAGCAGCATCAGGGTCTCCTGCCTCCTGGTATGACCATCGACTTGTTCAGAGGTAAAGCTGCTGTCAAAGACGTGGAGGAGGAGCGCTTCCCCACGCAGCTCAGCAGACACATCAAGGTACCCAGACTGTCCAAAAAATGAGGATTGTACAAAGCAAATGCATGAATTCCCTTCTGTACTGCTCCAAACTACTCATTCAACCAAGCCCGCATTTATGTCAGTTTCATACTTGCCCAAACTTATGGTACATTTACTTCCTCACACAGTTTGGACAGAAGTCTCACGTGGAGTGTTCCCGGTTCTCCCCTGATGGTCAGTACCTGGTCACTGGCTCTGTGGACGGCTTCATTGAAGTCTGGAACTTCACCACTGGCAAAATCAGAAAGGTGGCTGTTGCTCAATAAAAGCAGATTCACTGGCTGATTAACGCTACATTTACACTATTTCAAATTGGTTTCTTTGGCTTAAATAATATGCATCACGTCCTGCAGGATCTGAAGTACCAGGCTCAGGATAACTTCATGATGATGGACGATGCAGTGTTGTGTATGTGCTTCAGTCGGGACACAGAGATGTTGGCCACCGGAGCCCAGGATGGAAAGATCAAGGTAGAGGACAAACTTTACTTCTTGTTTTGTGATTGCTTTTGAGTGTTTTATTACATTGTGCAGCACTGTCTGTCTGTTCAAAAAGCTCTTTGAAGTGTTGAGAGGAATCTTGTTTAAATCCTGCCAATGTCAACAAGTATAAAAACGTCGTTAAACGCACTATGAATGCATCTGTGTAGGTGTGGAAGATCCAGAGCGGTCAGTGTCTGAGGAGGTTTGAACGAGGCCACAGCAAAGGAGTTACATGTCTCAGTTTCTGCAAGGACAGCAGCCAGCTCCTCAGCGCCTCCTTCGATCAGACCATCAGGTAAACTCAGAACTGACCAAACACCTTCAAGCTTTGTGTGTTCTTCTAAAGTCAGTTGTAGGTATAAGTGTTAAAAAGCCTATATTGTGCTTTTTGGGTTGTGGAGCTGTAAAAACTGCTCCTTCAGATGCCTGAAAGGGCTCCTTTAAAGTCTTCAGTTATTTATCTGTTTCTTTGTGTAACTAGTTTGCATAACAAAGCTTTAAGCAGCTTCTGCTGAGGCGACATCTCTGCTGATAAATCTGGTGTTGTGGTACATGACTAACTTTGCTTTACTTTGATCTAGTCTGGAGCATTTTAGATTCTGTTTTTTTTAACACTGAAGCATGTAAGCTCTTCTAGTGGTCCCCCCAAATATCATTATTAACCTGTAAATGGTCATATATGGGCTTTTTAAGACCCCTCGTTGATGGCAAAAGTTTGCTCTTCACTGACCGACCTTGTTGGATAACAAACGTCAACATTGTCCTCGTGTGTTTTGCTCAAGAATCCACGGACTGAAGTCGGGTAAAACTCTGAAGGAGTTCCGTGGTCACTCTTCGTTTGTCAACGAGGCCGCTTTCACTCCAGATGGCCATCACATCATCAGCGCCTCCTCCGACGGAACAGTCAAGGTAAGAGAAGCGGCAGCTGAAGAAAAATAACTGCTTTCATTTTAATTTCCTCTCATCCCTGACAGCATGGCATGTCTCCTTCATAAATCTCTATATTCCACCTGCTTCAGGTGTGGAACGTGAAGACTACGGAGTGCAGCAGCACCTTCAAACCTCTGGGGACGTCAGCCGGCACCGACATCACAGTCAACAACGTCATCCTGCTGCCCAAGAACCCAGAGCACTTTGTCGTGTGTAATCGCTCCAACACGGTGGTCATCATGAACATGCAGGGGCAGGTCAGTTCCAGTTTCTAGCAGGATTCCAGAGCACAGTGTTGCTCCATATGGGTTTAAGGACAGGCTTTCTGTGCCTTTACATAAATCGTGAGTTTACCTGGTTTGAAGAAATTCATTATGTTTTATAGTCGTTATGTTTTTTTTTTCTTCTAAAGGGTATTTTCAGTTGTTTGCTTAAAAAAACAGAACCTGCCTACCTACCCGCCTGTTCTCATATGTGCTTTGTGTGTGTTTGAATGTGCTCGCTGTGAAGATCGTGAGGAGCTTCAGCTCCGGTAAGAGGGAAGGTGGTGACTTTGTGTGCTGCACTCTGTCGCCCCGTGGCGAGTGGATCTATTGCGTGGGAGAAGACTTTGTGCTCTACTGCTTCAGTACAGTCACCGGCAAGCTGGAGAGAACGTTGACGGTACGTTACTGCACTCGTTCACCGATCAAAGTGTCCAGGAATATCCCTGCTTATCCCTCCTCTGTTTCTGCTACGAGTTCTGTCAATACAAGTAGACAGCCGTGCTGTCGGCTCTGATATTCATGACAGTAAAAAACAAAAAAAACACGCTGTTGCTCCAAATGATGCAAGAAAGGAATGCTGGTAGGAAATTGTTAATGGTGTAAGTTAGGATGTTTATTTTAGCAATCAGAGCACATGAAATGCAGCCGCCTGTTTCTAACCAGACAGCTGCTCAGTACGTCTCTTAAACTTTTAACTTCATACATTTAAACAAGTGCATTTACATCTGACACTGTCCAGTCATGAAGGATATGTGGAAATCATTGTAGTTTTTGTTTAAATCTAAGTGAAAGTAATCTTATTCAATAAATATTCTCTGTTGTTTAAACTACCAGACAAATCAGTTTTCTAATTAGCGGCACTACCTGCAGTGTCAAAGGGACAGAACATCAGGACCAAGCTTCGAAACATATTCTCGCCTTTTCTGCATCACCGCTGTTGGTTTTATTGACTTGTAGAAACTCACCTGTGCCTCTTGCCAACGTTCTCTCCTCTCCAGGTACACGAGAAGGACGTGATCGGCATCGCCCACCACCCCCACCAGAACCTCATCTCCACCTACAGCGAGGACGGCCTGCTGAAGCTCTGGAAGCCTTGAGGCATCGCCCTGAGAGGACACTGGATGTACTCGCTGAGCAGCTGCTCTCCTCACTCTGAACACTGCTCTGCCCACCTTGTTCTGCTTTAGTCATTTCACAGCTCTGGTGAATCCCTCCCAGCTCCACGTGGACCTAAAGGTCTAGATTTATGGGAACGCTGTCACTTTTACACATTCAGCTGTTTGTTTTCAATGACAGTGAGTGTTATCAATAAAAAAGTGCACTTGTTTTTTAAGCTGCTTTTTGAATGATTGAAAACATTCAGCTGAATGTTGACGGTAGTTTGGGGTGTTTGCACAGCAGAGCCTTATTTCACGCAGCCTGTGAGATTAACGTTCACAGAAATCTCTTCTTAATTAATTGTCACTCAGTGTCTAAACTAATAAATTTTTTCAGTCTGTAAAATGGTCTTCAGGTTGTCCAACACAGAACCCGATTAGTGTGTCTTACAAAGCAGCATTTGCTTTACTCTGTTTACAGCGGAGTGGGCGTCACGGTGATCAAGCAGCAGCTCAAACTGTGAAGTGTGAAGTAGATGCACTCGGAGGTTACAAATGCTGCTTCTGTGTTTGACCAGATGGGGAAAGAAGCCCTCTGCAGTCCTTCTGTGCACAATTTCAGTGGCTGTTCAAATAAATCAGGTTCTGCTGCTCAACACCTGAGCTTCACACACACTCGGAGTGTTTTCCCAGAGAGACGGGGAGCTGTCAGAGGTTTGGGGTGAGGAGTGTAGATACTAGAATCAATTCTTGTTTTGAAAATTCCACCTCTTTGTAAATATATTTTTTAATAGCATTTTTTTGTTTTTTTTTCCAGAAAGACCTGGTTAAATAGTGTGTGTGCTTTTGTGTTTTGTTTTGTTTTTTTTTCACTCCAAAACACACGTCACCTGAAATGACTCAAACATGGTTGATGTAGTCATGAACAGCAGTTTTGTCAAGAGGCGACTCACAGTGACCGATGACACTGTCACATAAACCGTTTACCTTTTATAATAAGTCATCTTCCTATCAGGTATATTTCTCCACATTCTGCAAGTACGTCTTTTGCAATCAGACTGAAATGTTTATTTTTGTCTTTAATATTATTTTTTCATGCATATGAACGTGATAGCACCAATTTTAGAAACTTCTCCCTGATCTTATGTGCATGAATTTAAAAATAATTCACACAAATCTGATGTCAACCTTCTGGATGTACCCATGTGCCGTTTGTTTGTGCCATTAAAGCTGTTTAACCAGAACAGTCACATGTGACCTGTGATGTCCGAATGCTCACAGAATTGGAGATAATCTGAATTATTGCAGCCCTATTCAAGGAATTTCTCACATTTCAGAAGGTTTAGAGTAACCAGGACAGCAGATGTCACTGTGCAGCCATCACTGCGCTTATTTCCTTGAGTTTTTAAACAGACTCAGACTCTTGTCTACACTTTCTAACAACTGCCTGCTTCATCCGTGTGGGAGGAAGAGGTTTTCAGATTGTGTTCCTCTGATGAAAAGGAGGTTTGACTGAGCGTAATCCCTGAATACACTGGTCGGATGGTTGTTGGTACAGCAGCTATGCAGACAGGAGCGTCAAGGCAGGGAGAGCAGGGTTTTTGTAAGACCTTCAAAATAATAGCACAAATGTGTCACTGCATTCTTGGTTTAAAGAATTTTTTGAATGTGAGGAGTTTAACAGTCTTCACCCGCAACAAAAAACTGTCAAATTCCTCATCATAATGATACAGTAAGGAAAAACTTATTTCCTCTCATACCAAAGTTGTTTGAGATTTTTTTGTTTTCCCAAAAAAAAGAAAAGTACTATTTTACTTTTTGTATTTTACTTTAATCGTGAAATCTGTAATTGTTCCTGGGCTGCAGCTAGCAATGGTCTTTGCTATTTATATATGTAAAAATAGTGTCGTTCTCTTTTCTAATTGTTTACGATATCTGAAAAAAATGCATTTCTGTCGATCAAAGTAGAATTATTCATCACGTGTTTGCCGCATCCATCTTCAAAAAGCACACATAGATTCAAGATTTCATAAAACCTGGGTTCTCTGTGGATCACTGACAGCCGTCTTTTAGAGGACATGTCATCAAACAGACTAATGTTTCAACAGTACTGTGCTCCAGTCTAATTCATCTCAGTGTTAAACAACATGAGGCAAACATGTCGACAACTTTAACAAGGTGTACAACTGGATAACTGATTCAAAGGGGTTTGAAATCTATTTAATGTTTCATCCATGGTTAGTGCTCGGTGCTGTATCACTGATTTATCAGCATGTTTGAAGTGAACAGATTGGTTGTGTATGTTGTTACACCTGTTTAAGCTTTCTTACCCAAAAACACATCATCCTAAGGTTTATTTTTTTAAACCTGCGTGCGACAGGAATCGGCGTTTGCCTCGTAGGCGACTTGACAGCGCTGCAGAGCTGCAGGTCAGGGAGGTTGAATGAGAGCTGGAGGAGTTCCTGCAGGGAAGCGTTACTATGGCCAGCGTTCTGCACTTCACTCTGCTTTTATTTCTGAATTGTGGCTCCTTTGTTTCAAACGTACTTGCCATTAACACGACTACAGCGAGAACCACTGTGGTTTCAGTTGCAGTTTTCACAGCAACTGAGAGCCTCCTTTCTGCAGGGAGACCTAATGCCACTGAGGTTCCCACCACAGGATTCACAACCGGTTACAGTAAATCAACAGCAAAAACCACCACAAGTGCTGAAGACACAACTAAAGCAGCAGAGAGAGCATCGGCCAGACGAGGAGCCGAAGAAGAGGAAGGTCCTGTGGAATTAGGTGAGTAAAAAATGGTGTTTCTAATTTCCATCTTTGTATTTTAATGCTCTTGTAGGAACAAATGACTCAGTGTGATCAAGTTGATCGCTCAAACATTCATTCAGGAGTTTAATGTGCTGTGTTACAGAATTAGTCCTTCATGGAAAAAATTGTCACTAATTTGAGGTGCACTTTTTACAGCTGTACTCGTTGTTCATTGGTTTCACGTGTCTCATTACTTTCCCCATAAAGAAAAGCAGCCACAGTGGTAAAAGTGTTGAGGGTGCTGTGTCACAGAATCCCTGAGAGGATAATGACCTAAACTTTAAATGTAATGTTGTGTTTGCTTTGTAAGATAGAGGCTGTCCACCATCTGCAAACTCAGGACTGATGAGATTCTGGAAATACACTCATCATGTTCCATTAATTAATGAGTCACCGATGAAGCTTCTCCCACGACTTGAAGCATCTCTCAGCGTTCCTCAAAGTCTTGGAGGTTCCCAGAGTGTAAATATCTCTCTGTTGGTCTTTTGCATATCTGCGGTCACAGAGTCAGTGTCCGAGGGCTGGGGGGAGGATGTTCCACACTCCGCCATGTGTTTTCTGCTGATGAAAACCAGATGGGCTGTGTGAGGGGAGGGTGGTGGTGGTGGTGGTGGTCGCCTCCCACTTTTTAAAACCAGTCATGTGTGATGTTGGTCCTCATGTAGACACACTGTACATTCCACTGCACCCGGAGCTGAATGTAAATACAAGCATCTGCTGCCAGACACGTCCGCTGAGCCGCGTTTACGTTGGTGTTGGTCTGAAAGCTGCTTTGTGCCGCTTACTGTGGCTCTTCTCTGTAAGACACGGTTGGAAATATGCTTTAATTGTCTGGTTTAAAGGTCTTGTTTTGTTATTTATTTAATTGATTTTTACAAATGTATTAGCGGTTTATCCCCAATCTCAGGGAAACAGTGGTTCTTAAAATTACTAAAGGTTCTTCACATCTACTGGTGTCCATTAATAGAATACAATTAGAGCTGCAACTAAAGATTACTTTCATTACTGATCATGTCTCTGAACTCCATGCACTTTCAGTTTTATGTTTTTTTTGCTACAGTATAAAGACCTATAGATATTTTACATTTTTGCATTTTTAATTTGTTTTCCATACACGTCTACCATCTGCCTGCAGTTCAGTTGAAAAGTCCCTGAATTGTTTTCACGTGCAGGTTGGCCATAGACGCATCATTCATGGCTTTAATATTGCACAAATAAATGTAGAATTTTTTGATTTCAACAGAATCTGCTTGGAGCCAAAGCTTTATTTTTGCCACATTTTTAATGAGACGTGTAGAATAATGTGATTTTGATGAAAGCTGGTGAAGTCTGCCGACAGAATAACGTGTCAGAAATTCTGTTCTTAGCATCTTATTAAATGAAAATATATTAAGTGGTATCAAGCATCTCATTTAACTCTATGCAGGAAATTACACATGAGCTTTTTTCCTTTAAAGTACAGCTTTATGCCTGGTGTGTTGTCTCTGTAAAGTCTGAAGTGATGTTCTGTAAAGTTTGCATGTTTTGCTCTGTACAAAAATGGATCACCTTTTTTTATAGCAAGCAGGTCCACCAGGAGCATTAAGGTGGCAAAGAAGCCCAAAAGGGTCCTGAAGAAACCCAAGGTCGTCGCTAAGAAGCCAAACGTTTCTAAGAAACAAAAACCGCAGGTCAAAAAGAGCCTGAGCCGGTCGGCGACCACAGAAACAGTCCCACGTATGTATTAGGATCAGCCCTGACGTATGCAGTATGTCAGTCAGACACGGCTCAGGTGTTAGTGGCAGATAGCTTTGGTTGCTTTTGCCTGCTCAAAACTGTCAGTTCAGCTCGTGTCAGGAACGTTTCTGTCCCATAAATGCTTTAAAAATCAAACCAACTGGGACACTGAATTGTCAGTTGAAGCATGCAGCACCAAAATAAACCAAACTATTTGCTAAATTAACACCAATAAGACCCATTCCTGCGTCTTAGTTTCTGGACATCCACACTCAGCACAGTGCTGATGTGGGACATACTGTATATCTTTATACTAGTGAGCGTTTAAACTAACCTGCTGTTTAGAATTAGCCTCATTGCTGTGCATTAAACAGCTTTAGTGCCGCCTTAAAGCAGAGCACAGCCTCACCATAAACAAAATGCAAAGACCAGCAGCAGCTTCACCTCATCCTGATCTCAACTTTGTAAATCATGTTGAGTGACAAAGTGACATCAGACAGCATTTCCTGAGAGTCTAATCATGGCTGAGTTAACCTGCTTGGGGTTGCCTGCCTGTTGCATAATCCAAATGGTTTTTATATGCTGAAATGCTACTAGACTGCTGTTACACCAACTATAAACAGAAAACTGAAACAATACAAAAAGCTTTTTTGTGAGCTGCTTGATGCTTCCTGTGCTGCTGTACTGAACCACTGAAGGATGATGCTGACATGCTGGCTTCCTCTTGTGCATCATTCTCTGCTTCACAGACCAAAACAGCTGCCGGCCTTCTTGATGCCACTGGTGGAAAGATAATTAGAGAAAACATCCTTGTGTCTTTGTCTTTTTCTTGACTTTTTCACCCTTCATTCCCTTTTAACCTTTGACTTCATTTTAATTCAAAAAACTTTATTTATTTTACAATTTCTACCTCCAGCATGTCTCTCCAGCTCTACCTTTAAATTTAAAAAGCACATATAAATCCTTACAAAATGAATAGTTTCCATAGCTGGGATTGGATTTTTGTCCTCCTTATGAAGTGTACTGTATAATGTGGCTGTACTTCTGTCCCTTAAAGTAGTACAAGTGCACATACACTACAGAATAGAAGCATGGTGTTGAGTTTTCTCAGGATTTCATGACATTTTTCAGCTGCTTTTTGTGTATTCCTATAAATACATGCATGCAGCAATCTCATGTGCATGCATGCTTATTTATGTGTGCTGGACCAGGAATTGAGCCAAATAAGGACATATATGTATATATCAACTGTATATATAATGTGTGTCTATAGAGGGAAACGTAGAAGATTAGCTTGTTGGCTGTTTGCTATAAATACATGTGGAGTATGCAACTTGCTAAATCATGTCAAATGAGAGCCGATGCTCGTTAAAATCTGTTCAGGACTGTCGGACAGAGCTGGTGTGAGATTAACACTAAGTGACAAGTAAAAGGTTTTGGTGCCGTCACAGTCATTTATAGAAGAACCCTCAAGCTGTAACTTCAGAACCATGAAAGAAGCAGGATTTTAAAAGATTAAATTGTATAAGATGTAAGATTGATTTTTCAGCACAGTCTGGGGTTTTTTATTCTATTATTTAGTCTTTTTCCATAATTGTGTGTTACATCAATGACCAGCATCACAAATAGAAATATGAACTAAATATTGATTTATATTACAATTACAGCAAAAGGACTAAATATGTAACAGGTGCTCTGAAATTATTCCAAAATGTGCATTTGCATATCTAACAGCTGTAACTCAAATGTCACCAGAAGCTGCTTCAGTTGATCATTTTTAGCTGAAAACAAAATGTGAAGTTCACCAGGCATCACCCTGACACATGCCAGCATGGAGCTTATAGCTAAAAGCAACAGATGATGCAGAATTGTGATCTGATCCCTGGTGTCTGAAGACGTTCTGTCAGCTGGCAGCGTGGGACTTTCTATATCACTCTTCTTCTTCAGAAGCAGTTTCTGGTTCAAACATGTGTGTCTGAAATACTCCGACATTACAGCTTGCCACTGTGTAGCTTCACAGTGTCGGAGTGGAGCTGCAGGTGAGCTGATGTGCTGGAGCTGCAGGAAGTAGCAGAGGGATGGGTGGAGATAAAGGCTTCATATAGCTTCTCAAAGGAGGCACCAGTTTAAAGTCACATTTCTAAACCACTTTAATGTATGAAGGGAATGTTTTCATGGAAAAACACGCTCTTTGCGCTCTTTGCTCCTAATATCAGCTTTTCATAGAGGAACAATAAAGAGACAGCACAGTCCCGTCCTCCATCTTTCTTTCTTTGCACTTCAGCTCAACTGAGTGAAGCTTTTGCTGCACACCAACAAACAATTCTGATTTATTTGCTCCCCTTGTAGAATTTGTTTTCCCAGTTAATCAGCTGAGCCGACTGCTTTAATGTGGTATAAACTGAACGTCTTCGTCTTCTGGGCGTCCCTGTCGGTTTGCCAGCTCTCTTTGGCTCAGCTTCTGTAGTTTCAAGAGAAATTTGTGGTTTGGCAGGAATCCAGTGGTCAGCAGCAACAAAGACACATTTCTGAGTCACAAGTATCTAGAAAGGGATCCTGCAGGACTACAAGGCGAAAGTGGTAGAGGGTCTTTTGCAGGAAATGCCACATACATTCAGTTTATGCTGCTTCTATAGCTCAGCCTTTTTAACAGCCAGTAAAGCTTCCTGACAGGAAGAGGCAGCTCGAACCGAGCTGAACCCTGCAGACAATGAGAGTCTGTCTGAGGCTTCAGGAGGCAGCAGGAGACGCCGGACAGGTTTAAAGGAACTTCAGCAGCTACAAGAGCTTGCTCTGTTGCTCGCCGTCCTATTTTGGTTTTATTTAAAAATGTGGAAAGAAGTCACAATACGTCAGGATGGACTTCACTCTGTTATCACGAGTTAAAATTCTACAGTACAAAGATGAAGTCACTGCTTGTTTGATGTCATCGCCCATCGCTTGTGCAGATGGGTCGAGATTTAGTGACTCTGAAGTCTGTAGCAAACAGCTCAGATCCGTTTGTTTAGTTTCAGCATCTTTAATCCGTCACCTGTAATTTTTCACATTGAAAAAATGTGAGAAATCTTCTGTCGTGTTATATAATTCATGTGCATTATATAACATCTAAACACCTCCACATGCATAACAAACAACACTTTGTCTTCTCCTCTTTTTTACTTACATGCTTGATCTCTCAACTCTCAGCCATTCACACGGTCTAGTGTGTACATGTTCGGTAATATATGTACATGATAGCGTGTGTTTGCGTAACTGCAGTGCATCTGATCTGCATATATTATATTGTGTTTTTGCAGAGCAACAAAGCGAGTTGAGCTGCTGGTTCCAGGAGTCTGAATGTTGGCTTTTTGAGAATAAACTCAGTGTACTTCAACACAAAAGAGTGACACTAAATACTACAAGCAGATGAATAAAACATGAACGCGCCGTATGGAGAAGGTGCCAGTCAGCAGTGTGAAAGCTTCCAGCAAATTCTGAACATTTGTAACTGTGATGAGGAACAAACACTTCCCCACCTGATAGAGAATTCATTAAAAATTCAAACGTTGATTAATTCAACAGAGTGGAGTTTTGGCTTTTTTTTTTAACTTGTAGTGCGCTTTGTTGTTACGGTAGTTGTGTGTACATGACACAGTCCTGGAATGGTTATGTTTCATCGATTTGCAACCTTCAGCAGATCCTGTCCAAATGGTGACTCATTTAACACTTTACCTCTGGAACCTTGACCCCAACTGACTTTGCTGCTCTACACTCTCCTGTCATGATATGGGAACACAAGCTAACTTCTTATGTTGACTGCGTCAGAATGTCCTCCGCTGGGTCTGGAGTCTCTGAAGGTCAAAGACACTCAGCTGAGGGCTTCGTCCTTTAAACGCAGAGGCCTGGGTCCCCACCGGGGCCGACTCAACATCCAGGTGACTGTACAGACTGAACAACACGCTATCCACGGAGCAACGCTGTCACTGTGCGTTTCACTTGTCCATCCTGTGTGTGTTGCAGTCTGGGATACATGATGGAGACATCTACGACGGAGCCTGGTGCGCTCAGATCAGAGACACGAAGCAGTGGCTGGAGGTCGACGCTCAGCGGCCGACTCGCTTCACCGGAGTCATCCTGCAGGGACGCAACTCCATCTGGAGGTCAGCGCAAAGAAATGTGTAGCGTCACGATGCTAGAGTGGTGCATGCAAAAAGAAACGGTTTGACAACATTTAATGAAATTAACAAACTATGCTGAGTTAGAACAGTCAACATTTCCTACACAAAGGTATTTTTATTGACCGCTGAGTTAATTATTAGTAGAATAAACACAAGTTTCTAAGCTGTTGTAATAAAAAAGGATTTTAAAAAAAGTTTTATGCACCTAAAAAGGGATCTTTTTTAAGTTTTATGTACCTAATTCCTGCAATTACAAACACAATGTTTTAATTAACAAACATTTAAAGAACTAAGTTGCTCTGATTCTATTTTCTTCTGCCGATTTTGGCTTCATCATGTTTTTGTTCTTGTAGGAGCTTTGGATTTTATCATGAACTGCAGTTGTGTATTTGCAAACAATCTTTAAATACTGCAAACAAAAACAACAAATATAAGTTAAAATTGTACACAGTATTAGGTTGATGAGGATTTATGTATGTTTATGCATTTTTGAGGTGGTGGAACAGTCTCCCAGAATTGCCTTTCAGAGGGAGAGAAACAGTTTTGTCGACCAGAATAAAAATATTAGCTTCTTTTCAGTTTAATCTTGTTGATAAAACCTTTTTCTAAATCTGCCTTACCTTTTAAAATGATCTAATGTGGCTATAAACAGCTTCATTTCTTCACCCTCTCTAAACACACAGTGTCTTTTTCTTTTCTTTTTTTTTAAATCAAATGGCAGATGTATTATTTTGGACTTAAGCTTCTCTGCAGGTTTTTCTATGTACAATGTGTGACATGGTATTACTGACTCATATATATTTGTCCTGCTCACACACAGTTGGGACGTGGTTCATACCTACAAGGTGCAGTTCAGTAACGACACGCTGGTCTGGAAGCCGTGCATGAACGGGACCGAAGAGGCTGTAAGTGAACATCTAAACCAGGGGTGTGCAATCCTGGTCCTCGAGGGCCGCCGTCCTGCATGTTTTAGATGTTTCTTTCTTCCAACACACCTGATTCAAATGATCAGCTCATCATCAAGCTCTGCAGAAACCTGATAACGATCCTGATCATTTGAATCAGGTGTGTTGGAAGAGGGACACATCTAAAACATGCAGGATTGTGGCCCTCGAGGACCAGGATTGGACACCCCTGGTCTAAACTCATATCATCTCCTTTCTCCTTTGCACACTTCTTTCTGCCTTGACGTTTCACTTTCTAAATGTTTAAACCAGTGATGCCCAAGTCCCCTGGTCCCTCATTTGCCTTTCAAGGGTTTCACTGTTGTAATGGTGGCAACATGTTGTGAGTGAAAAACAGTGATGTAACTTAAAGCACTGACTTTAAAAGCTGAGACAGAAGTTTTAACGAAAATGTGTAATTAAACGCTGGAATGATATTTACTAAAAGCCAGCATAAATAGCTGTGCGACAGTCTCCTTTAATGATTGTAACTGTAAAAAACAATTGTATGACTGTTAACACACTGTAATATAACAGTGTGTTAACTTATTACATGTTAAATGTTTTGGTGACACTTGATCTTAAAGGTTCTACCAGTTTTGTTGTTATTTTTCCAGTAACTTTATGGTCAACAACTGACCATTTTGTGATATTCTCTGAAAAAAAGTTTGATTTAGTACTGAAATTTAACTACAATGGTAAAGTGTTGAGCTAGTTCATGCTAACTTCTTGTAAAAAGACTTGGAAATAACACGATTGAGTGGTTAGATAATGAAAGAAGTACAGAATCTTTAATAGCTTTACCTCTCCCACCGGAGCGTATGCTTGCCTTGCTTCTGCAAAACTAGAATCTTTTAAGTTTTATGTATCTATAATAGACTGTATGTCTTTAACTTGTGTAAAAGGAGTTTAAAAATCCTGGAACTATAACGTCTTTCTATCATTTAATATTCCTGAGCTACAATATTTATCACGATAACAATATTTATCACGATAACAATTTCCCTGAGGTTTTACACCGAAGGGATCAATAAAGTTTTATTCTATTCTATTCTATTTTATTCTATTCTGTTCTATTCTATTCTATTCTATTCTATTCTACGACATACCCTAAGTACTTAAAAACCCTTTTAAGGAGATGTTATTACTGAACAGATGATTTGATTAACGTTGTGCACATTACAGCCCTAAAACACTCTGCAGGCAGTCATACGTCTCCACAGATGGACTGTAAAGTAAACCAGCCTACTATGAGCTGCAGATTTCAGTTTATTTATATCTTCTTTTCACAAGGTGGGTTCTTGACTCTGGCTCTCTCAAAGTTGCCATTCGTTTAATAATAGTGTACCTTTACCTCATTAGAATTTTCAAAAGCAGGACTTTCACACTCAACATATTATTTCTACACTGTGGTACAATTTAAACAACAATAATGTATTCATTCATTCATTCATTCATTCATTCATTCATTCATTCATTCATTCATATTCATAGTTGTACTTTACTATTCTATATGCATATTTATATGTGTAACATTTACAACCCACCTGGTTACTGGTTCCGACCTGCTGCTGTTTACGCTGGTCCAGATGTGAGTGGAACAGAAACTGCAGAAGTTAAGGCCAAGTGTTTGCTGTCCCGCTGTGTTGGTGTTGATTAGAGGAGATTTTTCAGAGAGAAACTGGGCCTCGCTTTATCACCTACAACCCAAACAGTGTGGAGAACGATACCCACCAAGAAATCAGGGCTGCATTACCAGACCTCTGATCACAGAGCGAGTCATGAACAGTAACTAACCAGGAAGCTCATTTTAAAACACGGGCTGCTGCTCTGAGTGTATCTCTAAAAAATAGCTCCAGTCTGCTGGAAATTAAATCTGAGGCAGCAGCGAGCTCAGCCTCACTTGGATTGCACAATCCCTCACTACCTGCTGGCTGCCTGCAGTGACAGCGTGCTGCTGTCTGGATGTCGCTAGTAACACGGTTCAAACACATTTAATATATGAACTGATGTTCCATAGTTCAGCTGATGTATATAATAATGTTCAGTGTTTTGTTACCAACTGTATGTGTGTAACATGTTTCCTGTGCTGAGCGATCATAACCGGCTGAGAAGAGGTTCTCGGTGAGGCAGGCAGTTCTCTTGCCTCATGGCAGGGGGCGCTCTGATCCCAGACATGCTTCCTGTGACTTCATGGCTGCAGAGTAAGTGACAGGAAGCTAGACTGGGTATGATATACAGTTAAGTGAAGTGAAGTGCAGCGAAGGAAGATAAAGAGACTTATACAAAAAGTAACGGATATTTTTGTCCAGAAGGAGCGGAGTAGGGACTTCATTTAAAGGTAAAGGTCAGACCGCAATAACTTAAAAAAAAAAAAAAAGAAACATGCGTTTTGTGGGCTACAGCTTGTATGTGTAAAGAATGCAGATATGAAACATGACCCGTAAAATGCTGCCAATCAAATGGCAAATAAGCAACTGTGTAGAGAGCATATATTTGTAGATCAGATTCTGATGAAGTCAGTGCCTCACCAGCCATGAACCTCACATCCCTGGTGTCACTTCAGAACTTGTCTTTGTATTCTCAGAAAGTGAAGGTGATTCGTTGTCGTGGTTAAAGTAATGCACATGTTGCTAAGGTGTTCCTATGTAAAATAAATAAATAAATAAAATAAAATATATTTTTTAAAAAAAAGACCATTCATGAGTTTCATTTCAGTCCTCTAATTGTAAAATGATTCACTGTTAGCCTTGATCACTGGCTTTATGTCCAAACTCATGCAGCAGATGCTGAATGCCGCTTCATGGAAGAAAATAAGAAAGGAAAAACCGCTGCAGTGTGATTTACCCACAAGCTGTTACCATCATTCCAACAAAGGCCTGTAAAGGAAAGTCTGGTCAGCAGTGTTCATGAGAAGATGTTAGGATGCTGTTTTCTTTTTAAAGCACACGGACAAACACTTGGTCCTTTTTGTTAGGAAGGAATAGAGGGTAATAATCTAACATGTTATCTCCACAATGACATTATTTAGAATACAAGGACAGATGTGGAACCTCTACAGCTTTGGTTTGTTTCATTGGTCTTCCTGACATGTGTGCAACAGCCACAGTTTGTTTGTTTTTTTTTCTTTCCCCAAAGAGCATCTTGTCAGATGTCGTCAGTATAATTTTAAAGTTTCACAGTTTTCATAGGAACAAATTAACATTTTTGTACATAATTCAGCTTGTAGGTTTTGTGGTATTTTGTGTGGTTTAAAAGAGAGTGGAAGAGAAGCAGAAATCTCAAAAGCAAAGAAAGGAGAATGTGACAAGCATGCACAAATGGAAGGTTCGACTCACGGCTGCAGTGATTCATGAGTGTATATACGTCTTTGTCATGGTGCAGCGGCCTTGTTTGTGACCAGTGAGGGTTTTGATTTATTTGTGGCCGTTGTTTGGTGCCTTGGAAAGGTTTTGTTTGCTGTGGGAGACTTGAACTGTGTGTGAGAGACGCTTTGTTTTGTTTCTGGATCGAGAAGTTGCTTTAATTGTTCTGCTCGGTTCTGTTTGGGGACTCTGGTCCTGCAGGTAGGAGTGACTGTAAAGTTTGGTAAGTCTTGGCTTTTGTGGAGTTTTCCTGCAGGTACAGCAACATAGTCCATTTGGGCTTGTTGGATCTGATGGGTTTTTTTTCTAGTTTGTTTTGTTTGTGTGGTTTGCGGTCGGTGTCTCTGGAACACATCCTGAGCTGTCAGGTGGGCAACCAGCTACTGGGTTTGGTGTTTAAATGCACCAATGCAGGCTGCAATGTGACGCAGTTAGTAGCACTGTTGCCTCGCAGCAAGAAGGTTGCCGGTTCGCGTCCCGGTGGGGGCACCGGAATCTTTCTGCGTGGAGTCTCCATGTTCTCCCCGTGCAGCGTGGGTTCTCTCCGGGTTCTCTGGCTTCCTCCCACACAGTCCAAAAACATGTTGAGGTTAATTGGTGATTCTAAATTGTCCGTAGGTGTGAATGTGAGTGTGCTTGGTTGTCTGTCTCTAAGTGTAGCCCTGTGATAGACTGGTGACCTGTCCAGGGTGTCCCCTGCCTTCACCTTGAGTCGGCTGGGATAGACTCCAGCCCCCCGTGACCCTAGTGAGGCTTAAGCGGTGTATAGATGATGGATGGATGTATCAATGCCAACCAATACGAAGACTTGGGGTCAGTGAGGTAGGTTCGTTTGGGATGGGCAGTTTAAACTTCCACATGAACCTTGGGGGACATGTATTGTGTATCCTAGTTGACCTGACAAACACTCTCTCTCTTGGGAGACCTGGGCTATCATGGCAGGGATGGAGGATTATGCTGCTGGTCCATCTTAAGGTTTTCTGGATCGTTGCGCTAAAGATCCGCTTTTGAACATTGCTGAGCAGTCTGACATTGATTTAAGTGGGATTGGTGATAAACGGCTTAAAGAAATCAAAAAGGCTGCAGTTAAGCTGTCCTGGTCAGTCATTAGTGGCTCAGCCAGTTGTAGTTTCATCAGGAAACCTAACTTCTGAGCAAAATGTGTTATGTTAGAGTGATTTCATGAGCGAGAGAGATGGAATTTTGAAGCTCAAAAGTACAATTTAGAGCTGAATAAACAGGCAAAGACTGAGTTGCAGGCTGCTGCGTTGGGGTTAGTCAGATGGTAAACGTTGTGGAGAGGTTTTGCCAGCAGAAGGAAGTTCATCACACAGACAAGTTGTGTATTTGGACTTTAGAAAATACATCTTATGGCGGTTTTGCTTTTATTATGTAGTTCACAGTGAAGGTAAAAAAGATGGATGTACGTCAAAGTTTTCAAACAGAAGTCCTTGGTCATCATTTTCCCACAGGTCAGGTCTTCAGCTTTGCCAGCACTCATCTGGTCTCCTTGTGCTGCAGGTATTTGAAGGAAACCAAGACGCAGAGACACCCGTCCTCGCCCTGTTCAACACCTCCACAGTGGCACGCTACATCCGGATCAACCCACAGACTTGGTATCAGAACGGGACACAGGGGGACATCTGCCTGAGAGCCGAAGTGTTGGGCTGCGCACTCCCAGGTTCCCAGACGTGAACGGCCGGCAACAGTTTTTAATTCATGTCTTTATACTCTGGCCGTCGTAACACACCTTTCCCATTTCACAGATCCTAATAACATCTATGCATGGCAGACGGAGCCCACGGAGTCCAGAGACAAACTGGACTTCAGACACCACAACTATAAAGAGATGAGAAAGGTAGGACAGAGTGTGACATACCCATGAAGATTTTATACTAATAACTACAATTCAGTACAACACACATCACAAGTTTTTTTTTTTTATAGCATAAATAAAAGCTGTACTGTCAAGATCTTATTTTAGAAGTACAACTTGTCTGCTGTTGACAAATCCGCTTGTAGTAGTGAGCAGAGAGCTGCCACAGTGTGTGGTCTGGTTCTACTCTGACCAAAAAACAAACAGTACACGAGGCTTCATTCCTTCACGGCAGCGTCCTCACTGTGCTGCCACGACCAGCGGTCGGTTTGAAGACGCCATCCAGCCCCCAGAGACAAACACAGATCCTCGTTGAGCACACTCATTCAGAATTTTGACAACTCCCACAAAGCAGATATAAGTGACATTCCTCCATACTGTTGTTACCTGGGAAGTTTTTCAGTTTGTACTCTGACCTGTTCTTCAGCAGATGAGACAGATTTGTGGGTTGGAGATGTAGTGATGGAGGCATCATATTCAGTGACAAGCCAAAAAGTGAATCAGAGAGACATTTTTTAACCTTTTTTTACCTGAGTGTAGATATACATGAGAATGATGGACTTAAAACTCCAGATTTGCACCTCTTGTGAACTGGCAACTGACAGTTTCTTTTTGATAGCCACTGCTCCACTTCGCAGCCCAAATCTTATACAAGTAAAATTAAGACTAATAGTATAAGTCCAACCAGCTGCCCTTAAAGGGAAGAGGCAGAAGTGGACGAACAAAACCAAAGAACAATGAACAAACAGGGTGGACTTAAGAACAGTTTATCCACTGCCACAAAACTGTAGCATCCCTTTGGCCTTTTGGAATTATTCATGTTTATTTTACTTATTTAAATTAACATTAAGGGCTGCAAGGTGGTGCAGTTGGTTAGTACTGTTGCCTCGCAGCAAGAAGGTCGCCGGTTCACGTCCTGGTAAGGACACCTGGGATCTTTCTGAGTGGAGTTTGCATGTTCTCCCCGTGCAGCGTGGGTTCTCTCCGGGTTCTCCAGCTTACTCCCACACAGTCCAAAAACATGTTGAGGTTAATTGGTGATTCTAAATTGTCTGTAGGTGTGAATGTGAGTGTGCTTGGTGTGGCCCTGTGATAGACTGGTGACCTGTCCAGGGTGTCCCCTGCCTTCACCCTCAGTCAGCTGGGTTAGGCTCCAGCCCCCCATGACCCTAGTGAGGATTAAGCGGTGTATAGATAATGGATGGAAATTAACATTTGGGCGGCACGGTGGAAGAGTGGTTAGCACCTCTGACTTCTCCATGAACATTCACAGCATGAGCTTTGTTTTCAGGGACCTTGTACATTGTGGGCAAAAAATATTTGACATCACAAAGGCAGTTATTAAATAAACTCCAGATACCAGGATTGGCAGATCAGACTAACCTTCAGACAGTGTTTGCTTCTCTTCAGCTCAGGTGAGCTGCAGTAATGCTCTATAACTTTACTGAGAAAAGTTAGTCATCTGTGCAACAAGGTAAACACACTTATACTTAATTAACACCAAAGTTAACCTTAGAAACGTTTACTGTAAGATAGGTGAAACTAATATTAGCGCCTTTGACATGCCGGTGTGTAATCACTCTTGTTGTTGTTTCCCCAGCTGATGAAGTCGGTGAATGATGCGTGTCCTGACATCACCCGCATCTACAGCATTGGGAAGAGCTACACCGGCCTGAAGCTCTACGTCATGGAGATCTCCGACAACCCAGGAAAACACGAGCTGGGTGAGACACAGAGTGTGACGTGAAAGCTGCAGGGGAGTAGACTGTCACTCTAGAACCTGAATCAGAGTTTTAACGTCGTTTATGCCCAAAACAAAGATCCAGGAGACACAATAGGACACATCAGATTTCTCAACGCAGCTCTCTGTGTTTGTTCATAAGTCAAAGGCCACTGAGATCATTTTTGCATTATGAGCTGCATGTTTTAACCATAGACTGTATGAAAGATGGACGTAGCAACCGGCCCTGAAAAATGAAGCCAACCTGGAAGTGTCAAAAACCTGCAATATCACGACATCCGCTAGCTGCTGGCTCCAAAAAGCCCTGGCTCCCATAGACTTGAATTGGAAAAGAAGTGATCACAGATCATGAAATACTGCATTCTAACAGCTCGGAGTTTTTTTAAATTAATTTTCATGGTCAAATCCAGAGATCAGGTGGCCAATCTGAAAATAAATCAATACTGAATTTTTAAAAAACGCCAACATTTTATGGGGCAAGGGGCGTGGCTGGCTTGATTGACAGTCGGCAGCGACGATGCAGACGAAGCGAGCAGAAGGCGGTAAATGTGGGCGGGCAGAGAGGGCCCGCCTCTCAATCCATCTGACCAATCGCTGCTCCTATGGCTCCGCCCCCCTCCGACGACTTTTGCGTCACTGGCTCCAAAAATCCAATATGTCAACCAGGAAGTAGCAAAACCCTGGCTTCATTTTCTCAGTGCAGAAACCGTCACGGTAGCTACGTCCATCTTTTATACAGTCTATGGTTTTAACAGAGAAATGCATTCAGCACATTCAGTCCTTAACAAATTCATTAGACCACCTGTTTAATTTGTTAAGCACTATATACATATAGACCATCCAGCATCATGAAGTGCTTTAATTTGCACTCAGCTCTCTACGTTTTACCATTTTGAACAGGAATGAGGAATTTCAATCTTAATTCACCTTTTTATACCCAAATCTGAGCCACTGGGCTTCTCTGAGAAGTCAGAAGTTCATCAAGCATCACATTTAACCACTAAAACTAATTTTTCTGTTCAGGAATGCAAGTAAATAATTATAATTTGACATCTGAATCCGGAAATAATAACTTACTTTAGTATTTTTTAATTTTTTTTTTTTTTGGTAAAACAGTAAATTTGAAAATTCATGGAAAACAATAATAATTATATTTTAACATTAAAAATATCATTTCAGTTAAAGAGCTTCTACATGCTGGTGTATTAACCATTAAAGAAATATAAAAGATGACTTTGGTAATTACCAATGCTGTTAATTTAGGGCAGCTATGGCATAAACCTTACATTGGATGGTGTTCTAATACGTTTGTTAAGCGCCGTAGTTCAGTGAATCATCTAAAACTTTCTCTTTCTATTCGCGGGCCAGAGTCTACATTTAATGTGTCAGGAGTTATTTCGACTACCATCCTCACCGAGATGTGTGGAACTCAAACATAGCCAGCTCAAACTCTAATTTGATGCACGTATTCTATAGTAACTAAAAATCAGCATGTTCTACACATTCTGACAGTGACCAACAAATATTTAAGGCGTTGCACACTTGACTCTGGGCATATCCAGTCTAAGAAAACAAACAGATGAGACGAGTTCCAATTTGTTTTGTAGGATTTTTCCGACTGTTTTTTGGGATGGTGAAAAGAAATGCAAGTGTGGGCCTCACAGGGTTAACTAAGCCTGCTTTTCCACTAACGAGAGGATTCATTTTAACGAGGGCCAGATTCTTTGTGCAGTAGTAAAGGGTCAGAGGGTCAGTGGGAACCTGTACACTGATGCCACTGTAGCTCAACCCTCCTACGCAGACAGTGCGACACTGTGTGAAAAATAAACCCATGCAGACGAGAGTTTCTTTTCATTTGCTCGGAGGTGTCCAAATGTTTTCTCTGGCTTCCTCGGCTCAGCCCACATGGCAGCCGGGCGGAGAGGTTTTCCCGCCAAAACACATGGCAGTGAAGGCGGCACACATGAGCGGAGGGAGACCGGCAGATCGAAGACTCATTATTTAGTTGTCAAATGCAACGGTTTCACAGGTGCAAAACGTCTGCCAGAGGATGTTTCAGCTTGATGCAGCTACAAAAACATCATCTGTCTATTATCATTTAATCTCAGGACTGCAGCCCGAACAAAGGAATAGATCAGCTTTGTCCCTCCAGTCTGTTCAGTTTTTCCTTTTTCTCATACCAGTGTTGGTTTGGTTTGGTGAGTTCATGTTCCAAGTTTTCAGTGTTTATCATTTCAGCGGTTACAGTTGGAAGTGTGGGTTCAAACAGGACAAATCCTCAGCCGCTTTCCTTTTTTAGTTATGTAACCTCATGGATTTAGTTTTCTCTGCTTCCTCAAAGCTTTTCTGCTGCTGTTGATGCTCCTCTCTGGCTGGACCACTAATATGGAAATCAGATAAATAAATGAGGAAAAGCAGATGAATCACGAAAGACATAATAATAATAAGAGTAAGCCTACAAGTTACTTAACAACACTGTGAGCAACTATAGCTTTAAAGTCGGCTTTTCCTCTCTGACTTTAACACTGATTACATCAAATATAATGACATCAATTAACATGGGGCAATGATGAAATGAAAACCTCAACAATTCCTGAGATCTTGGCAGTCCAAAGTCAAGTTGTACACTCGACCTTTCTATTTGTCTTGCACCAAACACAACCAGAACATCACCTCAACACGCTTTCAGTGTGTGTTTCCATCAGCCAGGGACATACCGACCGTTTTCAGACAAACTCATCCCTCTCATATTTAGATACCTGCTGTGATTTACTCCTACAAGCCCCGTGACATTTTAAATTACCTGTTTTGAAGTTCTAACTGTGATGATTCTGAGTCAAAACACAGAGTCCATCATACAGTTCTGACTCCAGAACATGCTTCAGACTGTGACCAGAGCAAGTGTAGTTTATCAAAAGATTCCTCCCACTAAGTTTGCTTCTCACACGAAAAGCAGATAAAGTTTGGAAGTCAGATTTTGACCATATAAAGACCAAACCTGAGTGCAAGAGTTATTTATATTTGTTTTAAATGTTGTTTTTCATTAGAAGCTGTATAATCAAGAACCGTTCTTTTAGTTTTACTTGATAATCCCACTAAATTGTCGTTTACATTTCATTTCTGGAATCAAGTTTAGAAGCTCCTTGAATATTTAAAAGGACGCTGGGCTTTTTTGGGCCTCAAAACCATTTCCAAACCTAAAACTGCTTCATAAATCTGAATACACTGACTGCACAGATCTCCTCAGTTTAGCTGTGTAGCTGACTGTTGTGTGCCAAAAATTAAAAAATAAAATACAAAAATCTGGGCAAACCCAAATCACCAACTCTTAGAACTACAACAAACTCTTCTGTGGTGCCGCATTAGCAGTAAAGTGAGCTGAAACTCCTCCTCATAAATAGCTTTGAGGAGGACGTGTGAGATTTCAGAGGTACCTGCCAGTTTAGTGTATGTGGAGCAAACAGAGAAAACATCCAGGTCCTTCAGTGGGGTCAGTGACAGATGTTGATCTGTGCAGCTGTGCTTTGAAAACACAGAAACTGTGTGTTGTTCATATGCTATTTACTGTACATGAAGAACTTTTGGATGGATGCATTGCAAGGATGTTGCACAGTGTGTTTTCAGCTGGAGGCTTCTTTAATTCCATTGAACTGAAGGATGCTGCAGGAAGTCACTCCTGACTTCAATCTGTGCAAGGAAAGAAAAATGATCTTCTGAGGACACATTCACCTTTTTTTTCTTCACTTTGAGAGCTCAAACCCATCTCATTTTAGTCTGTATTTTTTTAGTCTAGTTTATTTTTTTTAATAATTGTGTTTTTGTGTGTGTTTCGTGATATACACATTACTGCTGCAACACTCCCTCAGGGGATTAATGAAGTACTTTGTCCATCTTAGGTATGTGAGAGGAATGCAACATGTGGATATGAAAAGATTCATCTTTACATGTAAAAGTGACTGGATCTGTAGGCTGGAGTTGGAGTGCTCTGCTTTTGTTTTCATTTTTAACCCTAGTCAGGACTTTTGGGGTCTTTTGGACCCCGGGCCATTTGTTTAGGTGACAGGTATTGTTTTTTTTATTTTGGAGATTTTTATTTTAATATAAAAGAGCAACGTTTGTCATGCATTTGGAACCAAAATATGTCAAATTATCATAAAATGTATTTAACATAGTAAAGTCTATAATAAATACCAACCAATATTTTGCACATATTCTTTCTTGGAGTCCAATGGACCCCGAAAGACCTTCTGCATATGATAACATGAAAGTCCTGAACAGGGTTAAACTGATTGTAGAACACTGGACAGCATAAAAGCTGTATAATAATAAATAATAATGATAATGTATTGTGTTACATTATGTCAGAACACGTCTCTGTGTCTATGCGTTGGCGCCCCCTACAGGAGAACCAGAGTTCCGATACGTTGCAGGGATGCACGGGAACGAGGCGCTGGGTCGGGAGCTTCTGCTCAATCTGATGCAGTACATGTGCCAAGAGTACAAACGGGGAGACCAGCGCATCGTCCGCCTGGTCAAAGAGACCCGCATCCACCTCCTGCCCTCCATGAACCCTGATGGATACGAGATGGCCTTTAAAAAGGTGTCAGGAACCACATTCAGTCCAAGATGATGTTGTGATCTCAGCACCAGTTCCAGAGTGACCATAACAAAAGCTGAACATCCCATGTTCTCTGACCCTCAGGGCTCAGAGCTGGCAGGCTGGGCGCTGGGCCGCTACAGCTACGAAGGCATCGATATGAACCACAACTTCGCTGACCTCAACTCTGTGATGTGGACCGCCATTGAGCTGGAGACGGACCGGTCCAAACTGATCAACCACTACTTCCCCATCCCTGAGCAGTACACCTCTGAGGAAGCCTTTGTAAGTCTTGCACACACACATCACACACACAGCTCCACGTCATCTGCTCATACAACAAGAGATTTCTATTAACAACAATAACAAGTCTTTTCTCTCGTTCTCCTGCCTCCTTATCTGTTGGTCTTCTGCTTTGGATGGGTGAGGAATAGTTACTTTGACTTTCAAGAAATCTGCACACAAAAGTCCAAGAACACATACATAACATAGGAATTAGATGATGTTGATGTTTTCTCCCCTAAACTATGGAATTCAGTGTCTTCTTTTAGAACATGACTAAAAGCCTTTCCTACAATAAAGCCTTGTCTTAGCTTGTTTTATTGTGGTTATTTTACTTTGTTCTTTTCTATATTCTGTGTCTTCTTGGTTTTACTGAATGTATTTTAGTGTCTGCTTTGTGTTGCACCTTGAAGCTTAGTTTGAGAAAGTTGCCATAGAACTAAAGTTATTCTTACATGCTGTTGTGACGGATCATACCTCTGTTTAGGCTGACGGTTGCCACAGTTATGCTGAAGTTTAGTAAGGTCATCAAACGCTGAGATTCAGGTTTTCTCAGCTTCCGCATCTCTTGCAGGTGTTCTTGATGATTGTCGGCACTGTTTTCCCACAAAAGTCGTCAGATCGTCTCTGCTGTGTGTTAGTACAGGTGTAGATAGATTATGGTGTATTTGTTTTCTTTTGTTTTCTTCTACTTTCCTTTCACTCTTTCTCGCACTTCTTTGGACTGTACACTTTTCTTTTTCCTCTTTCAGGTCCAGCGATATGACATGTAATTCAGTAAGAATCCAGCATCCGAAATAAATGAACGAAATAAAATAGAATGAATAAATACATAAATAAAGGAAAATCAGACTATCAAGAGGGGCCTTATATTTGTAAAGCTCCCCTTGGCAAAGTAAATCTGTTCAGCACAACACAGCATTCAGGTCATCATTCTGCTGCTATGATGCTGGACCGGACACGTTAAAAAAAAAAAAAAAAGTAAGGTCATCAAACGCAGCATGATCTTAAGGAAGAAATGCATCGATCACATGTCGAAGCAGTTTTCAGAAAAGTCATAAAATGTAATTATAGGTGAAAACGTCTGTGTGGGTTGTGGGAAGGGTTTTTCAGAAGCTGACATTATTTAAACAGAATGATTATTCTGCTGTTAATTTCAGTTCCAAATGGGCCACATGTTTTTCATTATTAATTTTTCTTTTCCTTTCCGCTCTTGTCCTTGATTTAACCCATAAAAACTCAACTCTGTGTTTCAAAGTGTTTTTTTTCCCCCTTTCTGTTAAAATGATCCCCTTCTGTCCTAAACTGTCTTACATGTAACTCTACACCACTGTGTCCTCGACACTGGGCAGATCTATGAAGTCCCTGCCTCTCTCTCCACATGCACCTCCGGCACTCGCTGCGACTCGAGCACACCAGCTCACCCACCACTGTAAAACTACACCATGGCACATTGTAATGCTGGACTAATTCAGCCATTCACGTTTGAACCAGAAATAGATGCTGAAGACTAGTGATATGTGAAGCCGCACGCTGCCATCTGACAGATCAGTGTCTTACATTTGCTGAAACCTCAGACGTCTAAATCCGTGTTTTTTAGTCCATCGTTGGTACTCTGCCGTTTTAAGGAGGAAGTGCTTAGCCATGACGTTGACTGCTAACTTCAATCATGATTTGCCTTCAAGCATTTAAAAAACACCATATGGACGTGATAACAAAATAGATTTT